ATCTTGACTTCGATAAACAACATAGGTGATGGAATTAACTCAATGAAGACTGCGTCTATTGAGTTATTTTTCCGCTATTGGTTCTTCAGTTTGACTGCACATTTCCCCGTCACCACGACATTCCATAGTGGCCCATTCCTCGTCATATTTATAGTTTTATTTAAAATAATGCTGCTCGCAAGGGGGGCAGCAAAAGAGCCGCAAGGGGGGGGGGGCAGCCAAACATCAGGGGGTGGTGGGGGGGGGCAAAGAGCCGCAGGTTGCTGACCCCTGGATTAATTAGCTCGTGGTAATTCGGGGGGGGGGGGGGCGTTATAATATTTTCCGATTCAATCCATCCTCCCGGCGCGGCAGCTGAAACAATTGGGCAAGTTATATTGTACCCCGCATCGCCCCCCCCCCGTCCCCCACGTGATCTATGTATCTTTACCCGGCAGTATATAGCGGGCGGCAGCTACACGAAGTCGCGTGTGTGGTGGGGTCGAGTGTGAGCACTCCCTCTTCCGAGACGTCTGAACTGCACGGAAGGGTAGTCACCACGTGAGTCCCCCCCCCCAGTGGCGACCCCTTCCACCGGCAGGTGGAGTATACGACGTTTCGCGGCCGCGCCTTCACCGTTTTATGCTGCGGTACTTTGCGCCCGGGGACGCCTTCATCCAGCAGTGGATCGCTCCCGGTTAAGGATGACGGTAATGTTCATAGAGGTTCAACATTGACGATGTCTGGCTGTCGCCTGATGAAGCTAGTTGTAATTATTGGCGAAACGTCGTGCTCAGATTGTAAATGTTGTGGCTTGGCTCTCCGACACACAACGTGTGTGCTGTACTAGTGACGAATTGGCCACGTTCTTATAATTGGTTTTTTACCCTTTTATCTGGCAACAAAACTGACACCTTTTTTACAAGGAGTCATGTTTGCATTGACCACAATACCTGCGGTCAGAATGCAAGCAAAAAACACAACTCTGATAATGTATGCACTGTCCTTGAAATTGATTGGTCCACACCCGAGACAGCTTTTCTTAGAGCTGTCTCGGGTGTGAACCAATCAATTTCAAAAACCAATTGTCATATTTTGCTACTGGCAAAGGAGGTTCCAATGGTGGCCACGTTCTGTTTACGTGACAACCCTTACTAGTTGGCTGTGTCGGGTGGTGGCGGGTTTTAACGACACATTTATATATTTAACCCAAAACACCTCGAGTATGGATGATATTGGTCGCTAAAGCCTCCTCCTACTAACATGTTAAAATGATGCTAATGTTATTTTCTGTCTATAATCAACTGCTTTACCGCCGACACGCCATCTACTCAGGAGCCCCTGCAGGTGTGCACACCTTTTAAATCTAAATCGAAAACTAATTTATTTGGAACTGATTTAAGTTTTTTAGTGTTGTTGTCCTTCCCCACGCACCTCCCATGCGCACGGCTGGCTAACGCACGGTGCGAAATGCGTTCGACTTGGGTGCGTTTTGTGTTTCGCCTCCCCTTGCCATGGGCGTCGTGGAGGCTGCAGTAGCCTGACTCGCCAGCAGACGGCGGTACAGCAACGGGGTGGAATAATCTCCATCGGATTTCATGGTATGGTCGATTATACTCATAATAATTGTCGATAATAATCTCCGTCGGATCAATGGGATGGTCGGGGAATGGAGAGTTGTCCCCTCGCAGTCATGCGTCCTCTCCCTGCGCTCCGCTTTTCCCCCACATGCGTGCACACTCATCGGCTGTAAACATCTTAATGCATGGAGGAGCTCAGAGCTCGGGTAATTATATTGGCCGCGCCGGTTTTGCCGTGTGGCTGCTGCCTTCCCGCTCGTCTGAGGTTCATCCCTCGAGCCTCGGAGCCGTTCACTCTCTACGAGAGCGAGCGAAATACGCTCCGAGTCGGGATGTTTACTTTTTCCCCGGAGGAATCCGATGATCTGTGAAGCTCTTTTTCACAGACGTCCAGTAGTGCGGCGGCGCGTTTCAAGTTGTAAGCAGCAACATGATAAAAAGAACAAAGATCCCCCGTATAGTCTTGACAGACTATTGGGGCAAGTGCCGTTAGCGAGCAGCTAAAAGGTCGGCACGGTTCACGAGGGGGTGGGTGGACAGCACCACGCCCGGCCGCTTTTGTCTCCCCCAGTGGCGATGTTTACACACCGAATCAGGTTACTCATTTGAGACTGAGTCGACCTAGAGGAGGCCCAGATAACCGAAGCTGGTGTTGGCCATGAGCGGGAATCGAACTCGAGTCAACTGGTTTGTAGCGTAGGGCGCTAACCACGACACTAACGCTGCCCACGAAGCAACACAGACCCACACACGCATTCCATAAACCAACAGAAGTGAGATCAGATGAGTTCTTAATATATCACGTAAGTGGAATTTATTATCATTAATAATATTATCACATTTATATCGTTTAACGTTCCATGGGAGATCTTCCCACACGTTGCGGTCGCTACAGTAGAAAGGCACATGCGGTTTGTGTTCTCACGCCGAGAGAGAGAGAGAGCGAGTCATATCTAAAACAAGCACAGAGACACACAGCACATCGTCAGAACAACATAATCCCCCGCACCTCCGATTAGCACGGTTGGCGAAAACACTTTTCTATACTTTCATTATCAGCATCAGCATCATCATCCGAAGACGTATTTCTCTTTTAGAACATCACTACCGAAAGGGCGCGTCTTCATTTCATCCTGAGCTCTGGAAAATATTAATTTACCCCTGAAATTATTACGTAAAAATTAAGCTCTGACTATCAGCTGGGGGGGCGGGGGGGGGGAGGAGGGGGGTAGCTGCCCACTAGAGGCCGCTGCAATTACATCGAACATATGCACGTGTACAACAGGTATTTGTCAAACCAGTGCTGTGAGAAATACTAATGCTGATGATTGTAGTGGTGGCCTTCATCCAGCAGTGGACTGACCATGGCTGCTGATCATGGTGGTGGTGGCTTTGGAAGGCCTTCATCCAGCAGTGGACCGACCATGGCTACTGATGATTAATCAATGCCCCCCCCCCATCACTAGCAGTGAGATGTACAAATGCTACTCAGGGTGCTCGTGCGTTATCTTAAGTGCAGACTTCCGATTGTCGTCAATGTTTAATCTCAGCCGGAGTAATCGTGGCCAAACTAACACCAACCCCGCCTTCTTGCGCCCATCTCATTTTCTAACCTGTTCCTATGATTAAAGAACAATTAGGGTACGATACAATACGTATAGGATTGCTATTATGGAGAAGCTTAGCTTGTGATCTAGTGGCAGTGCCTTACGCCGGTAATTCTCTACGCTACTCCAAGCTTGCCTGTAAAGCTCTGATTGTAGTAATTGCAGGCAAACTGCAATTCACGCGATAATGAATCCCGTGCGGAACGTCTAATTTAATCTCAATACAGAAACTACGAATATTGTTGCACACTTACGTGTGGGGAGTGTTTCATATATAGCATGCACACTTTGGTAATTGTGTGTGATGTTGGCTATCAACAACAAGGCAACTTCTATGACTAATTGGGAATGGGACGCAAGCGTAGGATTGATCACCCTGTCGCTGGCCGCCTTTGGGGAGGGTGTATAGTATGAAAGGCCGAAACACCCTAGGAACCAAAGGTTCACTACTGACGATGCGCTCCCCAAATTTCACCAGGCTCATTGTTCATGAACTCTTGGAAGTGCTTGCACAAAGGATAGTAACATCTCATCCTGTGTTCTTGGAATCATGCTGATGAAGACTACAAAACACAATACCGGTCCAAATCTACCAGTGCACGTTTAAAATGATCTCCACCCTCGCTGTTGACAGCGTAATACATGCAAGAGGTTGACATACTCTCTGGTTCTTTCGGTAAAGTCACGTAGACAAAAATAATAATCATAAAAGAACACGACGTTTCGGTCGCAACACAAGCGTCCGTCATCAGGTGAGAAACGTCGTGATTTTTTTTTTTATTCACTTTATTTTAATTTTTATTATTTAATTGTTATTATTTATTCTATCTACGTGACTTTACCGAAATACCCGAAGAATATTTTCTTTCTCTGTTCTGCATTGAATTCCTCCAGGGTTCCTCCCATACGATGTAACACACATGCAGGGTAGGGCTTAAATGTTTTGTTAACACTTTATATGGGGCTATCGTTTTAATTGAAAAAGATCAGATAATAATGATACACCGTGACGTGATAACAAAAGTATGTTGATAGCTTCAAAAAGTCAGAGAGCCTCCCACTTGTCAACGCGTGGCCTGGAATCTTCTCCAGATGGTCTCCAGAGCCCGGAAGAGTCACATTTTTCGTGGTTTTGATGCAAATTCTCAGAGGTGTTTACATTTTTTTAAGCATCCTGTACATGTGACAGAAAATGTGCTATGAAGAAGGGCTATTGCGAGAAACGTCATCAATTATACATGGTTTTTACCTTTGAAGGCCACAGTTTTATTAAGAAACTAAACCGGGCTCATGCGGGAAGCGGGACTTGTTGTGCAGGACACTTGAGGCCTAAGGAGGGTTGATGGAGCATGGTCGAGATGGAAGATGGAATGGCAGCCGTGGTGGTGGTGGTTGTGGTTGTCGTCATTCCGATGGATGTCGTCGCGATTGTGAGTGTGTAACAATGCAACCGATTCATGTTCTTGGTTCTTTCGGTAAAGTCACGTAGAAGGGAAGTAATAAAATAATAAAAACAAAACATAATAAAATAATTCTCACGACGTTTCGGCCACAACGCAAGCAGCCGTCCTCAGGTGAAAACCAGGTCCGTCGAGGCGACAGAGTCTGAATTAAACAGCACACGAGCTTGGAGCATATATATAAACTGGGCGCCTTGACAAAGGAATTTGCATATCAAGAGGAATTTAGCATATTTATGGGAAATATTTATGGGAAATGCAGGAATGTGATTAGTACTACATATGCATAAATATATGCTCCAAGCTCGTGTGCTGTTTCATTCAGACTCTGTCGCCTCGACGAACCTGGTTTTCACTTGAGGACGGATGCTTGCGTTGTGGCCGAAACGTCGTGAGAATTATTTTATTGTGTTTTATTTTTATTATTTTATTACTTCCCTTCTACGTGACTTTACCGAAAGAACCACGAAGATGAATCCCTGCAGTCACGAAAGCTTTAAATCGAAATGCAACCGATTGCCGGATCATGGTCAAATGCCCATTACATTACAGCAGGTATGCGTTGTCATAACATCGATTTTTCTACAGACGGTCGCGATGATATCCTTAATCAATACGTCGTGAACACAAGCAACACAAGCATTTTAAAATTGATGCTTAAATTACGAGGTGAGTACGTTAATACGCGTGTAAAACAAATAAAATAACACATCAGCTAATAATAGTTACTGACATCCTTATAACATAATACAACTGTCATTTAACAAATATCATAGAAACTAGCCGCCATAACACTATATATCATAGCTCAAGCCTAAATAAAAAAAACACACACGTTTGCCTTGTTTAGAACGTTAAACAAGATGCATACTCTTAGGTTTTTTCGGTAAAGTCACGTAGGCAAAAATAAATAAATAATAGAAATAATAATAGAAATAAAAGATGTATTATTTTATTTCTAAAATATTTATTATTTTATTTATATAATTATTTCCATTATTTTTATTTTATTATTTATTTTTACCTACGTGACTTTACCGAAAGCTTCACATCTACAAACAAAATACAGTCCCTGCCACAGTAGCGAGCTAGACTTTAACATTTCAAACAGTAGATAAAGAGGGGGTGGAGGGGGAGGAGGGGGAGGGTGGGGGGGTGAACGCGGCACGTGACTTCGACTGAACCCCCCCCTCACCCCCGCGGCCACACGACGCAAAGTCCCGCGAACTAAGCGGGGACCCCACTCCACGAACTTCCATCCGTCACTACAAGCATCCCTTAAGCCATGGGGTGGTTCTTCACCCGGGGTGCACGTGCACCAAAGGTCGCAAACGGGTTTTGATTCCTTACCCGTACCCGTACCCGGCCGCACCAGGGTCGCAAACGGGTACCCTTACCCGGCCGTACCCGTACCCGTACCCGGCCGGGTACGGGTAGGGTACGGGTATCGGGTACCTGATTGCGACCTCTGGAATGAAGCCATGTTGCAGGCGCGGGTGGGTTGATTCTAGGAACTTGAATTGTGAGAAGAGACGAGACGTTGGGAAATGAGTGACAAACAGGTGACTCACCAGTGACTCACGGACTACCCGTAACCCGTACCCGGCCGCACCAGGGTCGCAAACGGGTACCCGTACCCGGCCGGGTACGGGTAGCCGGGTATCGGGTACCCGGTTGCGACCTCTGACGTGCACCCCTTGGGGTTGCGAGATGCCCTTTACGGGGGTGCGAGACACGCTCAGATTTCTTTTTTAGAAGGTAAATCATCGAAACACAAATTAAGCAAGGGCACGTAAGTTCAACTACTTTGTTTCATCAAACCTACGTACTTATTAACGTTATATATTTTTTTACGATTGATACCCAAGGAGTGCAAGGGCTGCAATAAAGATTAAGAACCACTGCCCGAAGCCGCACTGATCGGGTGCTGTGCTAATCCTGCTGATGCTGCTGTTGCTGCTAGTCTTGCTGGCGCTGTTATTGCTGCTGCTGCTGCTACTGGCGGTGCTAGGGCTGTTCTAGTCCTGGTGGCGTTGTTATCGCTGCTACTGGTGGTGCTGCTGCTGTTTGTACTCTCCGTGCTGCTAGTGCTGCTAGTGCTGCTGCTCCTGGTGCTGCTAGTGCCGCTGCTGCCCCTTGTGCTGCTGCTAGTGCTGCTACTGGTGGTGCTGCTGCTGTTGGTACTCTCCGTGCTGCTAGTGCTGCTAGTGCTGCTGCTCCTGGTGCTGCTAGTGCCGCTGCTGTTGCTGTCCCTTGTGCTGCTGCTAGTGCTGCTACTGGTGGTGCTGCTGCTGTTGGTGCTGTCCGTGCTGCCGGTGCTGCTGGTGCTGCTGCTCTTGGTGCTGCTAGTGCTGCTACTGGTGGTGCTGCTGCTGTTGGTGCTGCCCGTGCTGCCGGTGCTGCTGGTGCTGCTGCTCCTGGTGCTACTAGTGCTGCTACTGGTGGTGCTGCTGCTGTTGGTGCTGCCCGTGCTGCTAGTTCTGCTGCTCCTGGTGCTACTAGTGCTGCTACTGGTGGTGCTGCGGCTGTTGGTGCTGTCCGTGCTGCTAGTGCTGCTAGTGCTGCTGCTCCTGGTGCTGCTAGTGCTGCTGCTGGCTCTGCTCGTGCTATTCTCATGCTACTGGCGCTGCGAGCGCTGCTGTTGGTGCTGCTGCCGGTAGGGACGCTGCTGCCACGAGGGGGCGCCCGCGTGCCCGCGTGCCCGCGTGCGTGCAAGCGTGCGCGTCACAGGCGCGCAAACGTGCACGTCACAGGCGCGTGTCCTGCATGAGGCCAGCGAGCGGGTCGTCTCCCGAGCTCACGTTGTCCAGCGGCACGACCCACGCGTCAACTCCCACCGAGGGGGACGCCACCACCCTGGCGGGCGTGGCCCGGCCGGGTGGGCGGAGCGGGGGGCCCGTGTCGCACCCCCACGCCTCGTCGGGCCAGCCGTCTGCCGCAGCCGCAGCAGCCGCCGCTGACGGGCCGCCCGCGATCGCCTCCATCGCCGGGTTGTCGTGGCAACCGCCGTTGCTGTTCCCGCCGTTGTCGTGGCAACCGTTCTCGTAGCAGGGGTTCTCGAGCACCTGGTGGTCGTTGTGGACGTACTGGCGCGGAGAGGTCGAGAGGGAGGGAGAGATGGTCAGGGTGCATCGGGCGTGGTCAATTTAATGACCTCTCACGATCCAGCGATGACTTTTGACTGACCGGGCGTTCTCGTTGGGTCACAATCACCTACAAATGTCGTGGACCTACTGCACTAGATTCCAATTGAGCTCCATGCCGCACTATTCGAAGTTACTGTTGCTTAATTCGCAAAGCACTCGTAGTTCAGTAATTGCCTCGACATTTGACCGATAAGCTGCAAAATTTCTACAATCCGTCCAGAAGTTTGAGGTCCTCAAACGTGGAAACATTCGCCGCCCATCGGCAAGATGCGATCAACATTGGCAACAAGGCATGGGCAATGTGTCTCGGCTGTAGTCGCGCAAAGTTCACTTCGTTTAACGGGGCGAGAACTCGAGAGAGAGCAGGATATAGTCATAAAATAGATATTTTTGGGGGGTTAGATCGCGTAAATATATAAATGTATCGTTAAAACTATCCACCACCCGACACAGCCAACTAGTTATGGTTGTCACGTAAACAGAACATGCGAATTCGTCACTAGTACAGCAACACCGGTGTGTTGGAGAGCCAAGCCACAACATTTACAATCGGAGTACGACGTTTCGCCTGTAATTACAACTAGCTTCATCAGGTGACAGCCAGAGTTGCGATCACATTTGGTCACATGTGCAAGAGCCATCGTTGCCCCCCTACTTGCAGACTAATGCGCCCAGGTCACTCTTGCAATTGAAAACTCGAATGTTTGTATGTTGAACTTCTTTCGCACCGTACGTAGCCAACTCGTGCAAATTGGAGGTGCGGGGGAAGGACAACAAACTCAACACAAAAAGGCAATAAAAAATGGGGTTGTCAATCTAGATGATGATTTAAACGTGCATAGCCCCCAGTGGCTTTCCAATATCGGACGGAAGAGCGTTCCAGACGGCCGCAGAAGAGCAGTGAGCATCTCTGGTCGATGGCCAGCCAGGACGCGATGGTGGTTTACTACTCAATGTTCGTGATCTCGTGTGGATTACACACAGTGGCAATCATCGTCGCCCTGGCCCCCCTCCCTCCCCTACTGTCACACAAACAAAGACAAAGATATTCTTAGGTTTTTTCGGTAAAGTCACGTAGTTAAAAATTTTTAATTAATAAAAGTAAAATAAAATAAAAATCACGACGTTTCGGAGGCAACACAAGCTTCCGTCTTCAGGTGGAACCGTCACAGCACGCTTGCTGTATCAAGTAAATGAGAGATTCCAAGAGATACTACCCCGTATATATAACCCGAACCAAACTGTTGGGGCAAGTGCTGTTAGCGAGCACCTATAAAGGCCGACACGGCACGCGCTCAGGGTCACACCCGTGCGCTATGAGACTCATCCTACTGGCACCCTTGGAAGTTGTCGCTCCGGTGAGATAAAGATAAGCAACCAAAAACTCGACGTTGGGGGAAGTGGCTGGGGTTACGACTGCGTGGTGTGGCCGCCACCGCCACCGCCGCTCACCCAGCTCTTGTTGCGCGTGCGCCGCTTGCTGTAGAGCAGCATTGCGGACACGAGCAGCACGAGGCACGAGCAGCCCACGGCGAGCAGCACGGTGCGCACGTTGTGACGCGGCCCGCCCGGACGCTCGGCACCCGCCGCCTGGTGGCCGCTGTCGGAGCTGTCGGGCTCGGTCACGGCCTGGGGAGGTGGGGGGGGACACAACGACAAAGACACGTGGATGAAGATCGCCCACGTGTTGTTCTAACAATCGAACAGTTGTTGTTAGTGAGGAGCAAACTGAGCGAAGGCCGGCACGGCGCACGAGGGGGTCGGTGGCCAGCACCACAAAGACAAAGATCCCCCGTATAGCCTTAACGGATTGTTTGGGGGCAAGTGTTGCCGGTGAGTAGCAACTGAGCGAAGGCCGGCACGGCGAATGGGGTGGGTGGTCAGCACCACGCCTGGTCGCCTTTGTCTCCCCAGTGGTGATGTTTACACACCGCATCAGGTACTAATTTGAGGCTAAGTCGACCTAGGGGAGGCCCACCACCCGTTCAGATAATCGCCACTGGTGTTGGCCGCGAGCGGGAATCAAACTCGGGTCGTCGGGTTCGTAGCGCAGCGCGCTAACCGTTGCGCCACCTGCTCCCCACCACTGCAGACATTTACGAATACATACAAACGTACAGTTCGCGTTGTTACTATTTCTACAATAGACCAAATCATACTTCTCACGTGAAATCTGGACGTGGACCTGGATTGATCGTGACTCATGATGATGAATGATGATGATGACCGGTAGATGTAACCGTTGCAATCCTCCACTCCTATAGCCCTGATTGATGTTGGAGCCCGCGCAAGAGATTTAGGCTGTGTTGACGTGAGAATGGACAGGGCAGGTCAAGGGTAGAGAAAACTTGCGTCAATAGCCCCCCCACACACATCGCCCAACACCCCGGAATTCAACTTGGTGCGTGGGTCATGCCCTATCGCAGCTGTTTACTTTAATAGTTATTTAAAGCGCACATTTTGGGTTTTTTCCCCCTTCTTCTTGTTAATACGTAAAGGAACACGTGTGTGTTTGTATAGCGTTAATTCCGGGCTAAATTTGTATAAATAAATGACACTGCTACATTCGTGAGGAGTTTAGTGTAAATCACGGATTGCCATTAAAACAGATTTTCTGACCAGATGACGCCTTTTGGCGTCATCTGGTCCAACACCATGAGAGACTAGGCTCTAAAGAAAGCTGTCTCGGGTGTGAACCAATCAATTTCAAGGACAGTGCATACATTATCAAAGTTGTGTTTTTTGTTTGCATTATGACTGCAGGTATTGTGGTCAATGCAAACATGACTCCTTGTAAAAAAGTGTCAGTTTTGTTGCCAGATAAAAGGGTAAAAAAACAATTATAACATATTTTGCTACTGGCAAATGAGGTTCCAATGGTGTAAAAATATTTTAATTACCAATGATGTTGGTCAGTCTTCATTGCAAGGCCCGCGGGCCACCGGTGGACCCTTTTAGCCTTTAGTGTGACCCCGACACTACACAAATAAAAAAAAATACTTCCCATCATTATAGTGCTGTCAAACCCCCAATGATGTCCAATGTGTGGTGCCTCTCACACTGATGTCCTATCGGCGAAAGTGCCCCCCCCCCCCACCGCCCCTCTGAAATTTAGTGAAGAACACTGCTCTACATGTGAAATTAAAATAACCAAGCAGACAGTATGCCGTCTCCTTTTCATCCACAATCCCTCCCTCCACTTGAGAAAGTTTAATCTTTATAATGTACACATCCCACCGGCCGCACGGCCTTCTGGGACTTACAATAATGATTGACTTCAGCAGCATTGGTTCAGCACAAGCAACACTTTGGTGGTTGTTGGGGTTCACAGTTGTGGGGGGCGGGTGTAAGAGTGGGGGGGGGGGGGTAATGGGGTTTGTGTGTGAGGGTGGGAGAGGTAAGAAGGGAGGGTTGGGTGCGGGGGGGGGGGCTTTCTCCGTGATGGAACGGAGGGGTACGGGGAACGCGAGGAATGTTCGGTGCATGCCACGTGCGTGTGTGCGTTACATCAGGCTGACGGGAACTGAGGATCCCGGTGGGCTTTACCTGATAAAATAAAGTAGTTTCGTTTATTTGGACGGAGACATTTTAGTGATTTGCTGACCTTTCCTCTACTTTGCACTCATATCTCCTGTCTGGTTTGTTGTCGTAACGTTCTGACCACGCCCCTACTGGATAGGTGTGAGAAAGAGCTGCATAGCTCATCGGATTCCTCAAGTCTAAATAAATATTCTTATTCTGACATAAATACGCGCCTCCTTCACGAGCCTGTTCCTGCAGATGAATACATCCTTTGTATTTCGTAGCTGTTGTTTTAACACATCCCATTGGCTGCACCGGCCTTCTTTTTTTGCCGGTGCATCATTTCAGCAGAATCTGTTCAATACAAACAAAAACAAATATCTCTGGACCGGTTTCAACATTCTCATCGGCAGAGGCAGGCTTTTTGGAACCAATGCTGGTGAATAACCAGATGTTCATACACAAGGAAGGACCCTGTCTTTTGTAGATTGGGAGGATCCTTCAGAGCGAGTGGCTGATGTAAATCCCAATGACGCTCTCGAAGGGCTAGAAAGCTGTAATTTGGCACGGATTTATAGCAGCAACACATTTCATTTATACTGCGCCAATAAAGTAACAAAAGTATCAGAACGTTGGGTTTTATTTTGGCCTAGGGCACCCCCTGATAGCAGCTGTCCTTGTAGTGGAGTTGGTTATTGTTGGTGTCAGTCTGTAACTACCCACTCCTCTCTCATTGGCATCATAAAATGATCACCATCATCATCAATACATTTAAACAATGCAACAATTATCATCCTTAAAAATTACACTCACCATCACTCACAATGATCATCATCGTCATCATCATTGTTTACAGTCAATTAGCAACAAGTTGAATAACAATATATTTAAACATGCCATCAGTACTTACACTGACACTCACTCAAGTACAAAATGTATTTATCATCATCACCACCACCACCATCATCATCATTGACGCTTCATCATCAATGTTGGTACTCACCATCACTTACTGACCAATGCCATTTTCACCATCATCATCATGATGTATTGTTACACTCACCATCATCATCATGAGTTAATCAACACAGCATCATCACATTAACATAATGCACTCATCATCTACATCATGGATGCATCCAGGTACCAATCATTAAACCGAGCTGATCACGCAGGACTTGCTATTGTAATCATTGTTACTCCTGTAGAGGATGTTCGGGACATCCTCACACACAACCACGGGTTAAGGGTCAGGGGTCATTGCCGTGCGCAGCAAACGCAATCCGACAATTGAGTGGAGGACACTCCGATCGGATTATTGCAGGGATGGATTGTAAACGGTCGGGGCACACCGAGAAGGCGATAGGCGGGGCAACTGGGTGAGGCGGGCGAAATAAAGTGGACGGGAGTCGGGTGAGCTCGGGGTTGGCTTTTGATGACGAGTGTAAGTGCGCGGTGTGAGTTGGCGTCGAGAAAAAAGACGCATCCTTGACCCGCTTCAAAGTCCTCCGCTTCATATTCGTAGGTTTTTTCGGTAAAGTCACGTAGGTAAAAAATTACAATTAATAAAAGTAAAATAAAATAAAAATCACGACGTTTCGATTGCAACACAAGCAATCATCATCAGGTATAAATGAAATAGCAACAAAAATTTTTATTTAAATTTTTTACCTACGTGACTTTACCGAAAAAAACCTAAGAATATGAATCCTTGCAGTCACGAAAGCTTCAAATCTAGAAGTCCTCCGCTTCACTTTACCTCGGTCTTGCTTGGGCGAGCAGTCGACGGTGGCGGAGTTATGCTGCCGTCGTCGATGCCACGATCGTCGACCGGCACTCCACCTTCACTCGCATCCTGTGTCGTCGCGGTCTTGGCAGTGGATGCGTCGAATCGATTATTCGTATTATTAGTATTGATATCACCACCAGCAGTGGTCACACTCGAACTCGCGGCTTCCGACGCCGAGGGCGGAGTCGTGTCAGTGCCGTTCACGGTGGCAGCGTCCCGAGACACGCCGGGAGTGGCGGATGGGAAGGTGGACGATGAGGGCGACGAGAAGGAGGAGGAGAGGGGCGACTTGGGGGTGACCGTGGAGGAATTGGCAGTCTGCAGCGTGATGCTCGCGTTGTTGGGTAACTCCGTCGCGTTCGTACTGGGGGAAGGGGTGATGTTGGCCTCATATGCGGGAGTGGTGGTGGTGTTCGTGGGGTTGGTGGTGTTGGTGTTCGTGGGGGTGGTGTTGGTGTTTGCGGGGGTGGTGGTGTTGGTGTTTGCGGGGGTGGTGGTGTTGGTGTTTGCAGGGGTGGATGCTGGGTTAGTTGCCGATGTGGCAACTGCGTTTGAAGAAGTGTTTTCTATTGCGGCTGGTGACGCCGCTGCCGCTGCTGCCGCTGCTGCTGATGTGGCTGATGAGGGTGGCGTTGATGATGGTTGTGTTGATGATAATGGGGTTGATAATGATGGTACTGTTGATGATGGTGATGATGCGACGTTGTTGTTTTTATTGAGAGTAGTTATTTGTTGTGTCGGCTGTGTGACGGTTGCCATCGATGGTGGTATGTGTGTCGTGGCGGGATTTGTTAGTAGACGAGATGTGCTGGCGGAGGGGTTGACTGCGTTCAACGTGGTCAAAACTGCAAGCAAAGAGAAACGAACAGACGCGGATTTTGAGAATCACACCGTCGCCCCGTTAAACAACGTCGGTATTCACATCACGTGGATGGCGATCTTGCTGCTGATGCTGTTTATGAAGCTACTCCTCATGCTGATGCTGATGATGAAGCTGATGATGAAGCTTCTGCTGCTGCGGCTGATGATGTTACGGCTGCTGATTATTCAGCTGCTGCTGTTGATGAAGTTACTGCTGCTGCTGTTGTTGCTGGTGCTGGCAATGCTGTTGAAGATGCTAGTGCTGATGATAGAACTACTGCTACTGCTGATCTTGAAGTTACATCTACTGCTGCTAATGATGATAAATTAAGCTACTTTCTGATACTACAACACTGCTGATGATGTTGCTACTAATGCTGCTGTTACTGATGATGAAGCCACTGCTGATGCTACTGAGAGGACGAGCGGGGACGGTAGTGACAGCAGCAGCCAGGGCGCGAGGAGCCGTCGCTATAGCAATAATTGCCCATGCTTCGCGGTCCTCTGTATATTAAGATGTTTCCAGCCGATGAATGCATGTTTACGCATCTGTGGTAGGAAACCGGAGCACCGGGAGAAAACCCCACGCGTGCAAGGGGGCAACACTCAATTCCATGCCTTCCAACTTCCTCCGATGAGATTAGTCCGCGCGTTCGTTCTATCGCCTTGTTGTTCTGGCGAGCCCTGGGGATGGCACCTCCTCGACGCCAACGGTAAGGGAGTCTAACAACATCTGCGAGTGATCCGCCAACGCTCGCTGCCTCCACAGCGCTGGATTACAGGCCACGTGCGCGGCCACCGCTCTCCGGCTCGTGATGAAGTTACTTTTACTTCCGATGCTGTCGATGATAATGAACTTACTGCTGCTGCTAATGCTGCTGCTGCTGATGGCGATGGGTAATCTGGTGGTAGTGATGCTGCTGGGTTGGTAACGGCGAACTAAGCACAATTGACAAGACGATAGCAATAACACCGAAATAGGTGACGTTTCGGGCAACGGCCCGTCTTCATGGTACATAAAAAAAACAAAGGATGTTGTCTCGTGACTGCGCAGCATACCCCCCGTCACCGTTGTCACATCGCTTGGATGGTCAGAATTTGCCGCAACCACCATCCACCATCCTGGCACGAGCGAACAAGACAATCAAGAGATTAGCAACCGCATTCTCCGGATAATAAGACGCACACCCGCACACTCCTACCACCACCCCCAGCCGCTTCCCACCCCTACCAACCTCTCCCTCCCTCCTACCTTCTCCTCCGCCGCCGCTTTTGTGTGTGAACGCCTTTTGTCGGGCGCAACTTATTTGTCCACCCGGTCAAAACCATTCCGGGGTGGTGCGTCTTACTTTCCGGAGGCGTCTGCCAACGAATAATAATTTACCGAGCATCGAAGGGCCGACGCGATTCTGCAAATTGCTTCGTCGACACAGATTTAGGATTTCACGCGGTTTCGGATTGCGCAACTTTCCGTGAGATCGTAGGGGCGGGTCCGTGGAGCCGCCGTACGTCGCGCCCATTACTCACGACCACACAACAAGGACAAAGTTCCCCCGTATAGCCTGCAACAGGCTTTTGGGGCAAGTGCTGTTAGCGAGCGCCTACCAAGGCCGGCGCGGTGCACGAGCGGGTGGGTTGGCCAGAGCCTGCGCCCCAAATGTTTAAACACCGCACCAGGTGCTCATTTGAGGCCGAGTCGACCTAGGGGAGCCCCAGGACCGGTTCAGATGATCGTCACTGGTGTTGGCTGTGAGCGGGAATCGAACTCGTTTTGTAGCGCACATACACCCACAGATAGACGCTGTCACAAATAGACACACAGAGACACACACCATCACGAAAACGCACGCATTAAAACACGCTAAGAATCGCACACGCGAACACACACACACCCTTGCACAATCGCATACAAATACTCTCCATGCCATGTAGCCTTTTGAGCAGACTGTATAGCTAGCGTCTGTGAAGGTCGACACGGCACACGATAGATAGACACGGACAGACACACACACATGTATCAGGATTGTTTCTCTGGCAGCTGATTGGCTGGTGTCACGGGGATGATTATAATGCAATCCCTAGCAACCACTGACGCATTCCTCTTTGAAAAGTGGCGTCGGCGCACACAGATACTCCGGACTTTGTAGCATGAATGTTCAGATTCTACACGAATCGCTGTCCTGGTAGTATTTACGCGGTTAATTTTGTTTTTTTCATGCCACTGGTGAACAGGATGAATGTTATAGTGAATGGGGTAATTGTTAAAGTGAAGAGCAACTGTTATAGTGAATGGGGTAACTATTATAATGAGTAGGGTAACGATTATAGTGAATAGGATAACTATTCTCCCTCTAATTAATTATTGGTCACGGTTCAATTGGTTGGCTCAATAAAATAAAAAAAATAGATTTTTCTTAAATAAGAAAAAAAAATCAACACATTCGTAAAACGCACTGTGGCCTTCAAAAGAAAAAAAAAGTATAACAGGCGACGTTTCGGGCAGTGACCCTTGTTCACGGCACATAAGGAGTCTAACAGACATTTTTAAGGCCACAGTATTACTAATGACGAGTGTGTAGAGTTGTTGTTAACTGTGGTTGTGCACCGCTTCCACCACCAAATAATGGAAACAACAAGCACCGTAGAACACGCCATCTGCGGTGTTGCTCTCGAGCCCTCGAGCGGCTCGTGGGTGTTGCCGCGATATAGATTCTTCACGATATGATACAATATGACACGACGATTATCGCGATATCAAATTTACGTAACTCCGCAAATGCATTTTGAACGCTTTGCATTGCGTCAAAACCTTTGCCCTGTTTCAATTCTAGAAGGCACAGCGATGTGACTTTGAACGCCCACGATGTGTACGTATGTTACGTTGAACTCGTTTCGCACCCCACGTACCCAACCGTGCTAATCGGAGGTGCCGGGGGTAAGGACAACAAACTAAACACACACACACAAAGTCAGCCTGCCCACAAATATTGTCACGAATGATGTGGTGCTGCTCCTGTTGCTGCTGCTGCTTTGTCGGTGGTGCCACAAGCACAATTAACAACGACAACCCCGACACACTCGTCATTAATAACACCGTGGCCTTCAGAGGAAACTGTAATAGTCGCGGTTTTAGTGGAATTGCCCTACCTTCAAGTGAACGTGTCTTCAATAAAGAACCCATCTCAAGAGAAGTACGTCAAGTCGTCCTTACACTTGTAACAATGCCCGTGAAACTGACCAAGTAAGGCCCCTTCTCGCTAATCCCTTTTCGGGGCCCTAGCTCGACGCAACATTTTATGATGCACCGCTCTGCTCGGGGTCTCTAGAAACACGGCCATGTATTGAACCCCAACACTCACTCAGGGCGTGAGAACACCGAGCCGACCTCTACTCTACACGGGGGGGGGTGGGGGGGTATCGGAGCGAAGATGTGAAACAATGCGCTGGGATCTCTGTGGGAGTGTCTATTATCATGGGGGAATTATACAATGGGTGTGGGAAGTAAAAAAAAAATGTTCCACCCGTTGTCACGATGTTAAATATCAACAAACGGTGACGCGGGGGCCCAGACACGTGTGACCACGTGCAGTACCACGTGCTCGCCCAATGATGTCAGTTGCACGTAGCACACACACACAGATTAGATACCATTTGCTAAAAAAATAACAATGGGAACATCTAATTCATTTCATAAACAAAACAAACGTTCTATTGAAGCCAAGGGTCTTGGAAAGTTTCGTTCCTTTTCGCCCATAGACTCCTGGGGACTGGGAGGGACCGGGGTTTATTATTCACGGGGTGGTGGTGATGATGGTAGTCGTGATGGTGATCATGGTATCGGTGGTGGGATGGCAGTGGTGATGGTGGTAGTGGTGATTGGTGATAATGACGGTGGCGATGGTGTGGAAGCTGATGATGGTAATGGTGGTGTGTTTGTAGGGCTGACAGTGGTGATGGTGGTGATGATAGTCGTGTTGATGATGGTGGTGATGGTGTCAGAGTTGATTATGCTGATCATGACAGTGGTGATGATGGCGATGATTGTGATTATGATGGTAATGATTACTGTGGTGGTGATGTTAGGGGTGATTGTGGTAATGGTTGGTCGTAGTGATGATGGTGGTAACGATGATGTTTGATGATGGTGGTGATAAAGTTTGATGCTGGTGATGATGATGGTGATGCTGGAAATGATGGTAGTGATGGTAGCGATGAGGATAGTGACAGTGGTGGCGATGATGACTATGGTGATGTTGCCAAGACCATAAATACGATGATGGTGAATCTAATACGAACGTTGTCGATGTCATTGATGACGATCAACAACATTTGTAATCCCTTACAGCTGCCGATTACGATGACGCTTATTCTACGATTATTGATATTGATACTGCAACTTATTATGATATTGATGACGCTTCTACTCGTGATGCTGCTGCAACTCATTTTGATGATACTTTGGTCAATGGCCCTGCGTTTAATGATAAACATGATTCTGCTGCTGCTGCTGATTATGCTAATAATAATAAAGCGACTGCTGTTGGTGTTGATTTTAGGTCCGCTGTTGGCTCTTGCTTACCGATTGTGATTACGCGACGGTGATCATCACCCAGAACTGTACCAGGGGATGTATTGCGACTCAATGCCCGATTCGCAAATACAAAGGATGGGGCATCATCGTCACTGCGACGATTCACTACTGACGCAACCCCCTGGCTCAACCACCTCGATGTACACATCACAGTTGTTGCTGCAAAGCAACATCAGCCACACACGGAAAAAGATGATGGTGCCAGGACTTCTGGCACCAACGTGGCAGAGTACCTATTATTGTGCATCTCTTGCTGCTGATGATCATCCTTAAACGACGAATAATTACCGCTTCTGGCGACGATGGTTTTGTTACTGCTGGTGATGACAATGACATAACTGCTGCTAATGATGATACTGCTGATGATGTTGCTGAACATCCTGCTGCTGCTGATGATGATTATGATGCTGCTGATGATGCTCCTGATGATACTGCTGCTGCTGATGCTGCTGATACCTCTCATGATGCTGCTGATGCCGCAGATGCTGCTATTGCTGATGATACGACTGATGCTGCTGCTGTTGATGTTGCTGCATGCTGATACCTCTACTTTTACTTCTGCTATTCCACACCCAGCAGCCCCCCCCCCCCATCGCCTCTGTTCTCTGCATGAGCCACAGGCGCACACGCGAAGTGGTGAAACGCACAAAGGCAGGAAGCGAGATCGGGCCGCCAGAGAAACATCAGAACGGGCCAGTTGAGCCACTCCAGACTCACAGCCACCGCCACGACCCCCCGTCTGCGAGCGAGAAGACGATCGAGGAGACACGACGCCGTGACCCGGCAGAGAGCTCGGACCCGTCAGCACCGGCGTTGTTGGTTTATTTTGAGACATTTCTGCACGGCAATCGACAATGGCATTGACGTTTGTGCCGGGCGTGGTGCTGGCCACCCACCCCCCTCTTGCCGGCTTTCATAGGTGCTCACTAACCGCACTTCCACGAGCAGCCTGCCAAGGCTATGCAGGGGGTTCTTTGTCTTTGTGTACGTGTGTGTGTGTGTTCGTGGGGAGCGGTGGCGCAGTGGTTAGCGCGCTGCGCTACGAACCCGGTGGCACGGGTTCGATTACGTCTCACGGCCACGAACACCAGTGACGATTATCTGAAGCGGCCCTGGGTTCCCCTAGGTCGACTCAGCCTCAAATGCGTACCTGGTGTGGTGTGTAATTATCGCCGATAGGGAGACAAAGGCGGCCGGGTGTGATGCTGGACACCCACCCCTCTCGTGTGCCGTGACGGCCTTCAGAGGTTCTTGCTAGCAGCACTTGCCCCAGCATTCTGTTAAGGCTACAGGGGGGATCTTCGCTTTTGCCCGATCTAAACTTATGATGTATATGCTGGTCTGAACTTACTCACATAGATGTGCAGAATATTTTGTTAACACATGTTTGACCTCTCCGACAAGCGAAGAATGTTATCAACGCCCCCCAGTCAACTTCTGTCGCTCAATAGGATTACCGCTCAATAGGATTTCCATTCCTCCTCCTCCTCTGCTGCCCCTATGGTCTAGATTTCTCTTCCTCTGCAACCAA